ACCCTTTTTCCTTCCATTTAATTCAAAAAGGGGTGAAGGGACAACACAAAAATTTGAGACAGACATGTTGAGCCTCTGGCAGTATCTTTGAAAGATATTTTTCTCTTTCTTTTTTTCTTGATATGAAAAGTTATACATTTCATATTTTGAGTTCAGGTTTTGAATGACACATCATGACAAACTTGCCTTAAACAGCCTTCACACTCTTGGCGGAGCTGTAGAGCAAAGAGCTGGGAGCAAAGTCCTTACGTCTGTGCACATTAATCCTACGGTTCTTCTTCCTTCTCCTCTTTCTCCTTGCAATGAGCAGCGCTACGATTCCTTTGTGAAACGAGATACTGTGGCTCCCTGCATGCTGAGACTGAGGTTTACACTGTCAGCTAAATACATGAATGAAAGAAAGAAAGAAAGAAAAAAAAGTCTTGGTGATCTGAGAGAGGAACTCCAATGACCACCAAAGAATGCTTATTAATTTGAATGTTGACACAACCTGATCCATAAAAACAAAATACTAGAATACCAATTTGTACTTTTACTCTTTAGAAAAATGTTGATTCAAAGAGACAGAGAAGAGAGAAAAAAAGCCTTATCTTGGTACTTGTATGAAAAGTCAGCAATATTTACAAAAATTGGCTTTGAATTTGTACAAAAAATCATGAATGGAGCTTTGGAACTAAAAAGTTCCTCTATCCGACAGGAATTCTACCCAATTCAACAGAACACAACATGTCACTTTCATGATACTTGGTGAGGCTCAGAGTGCACTTCCATTTTACAACTAAACTCTGGTAGTTGTACATTAACAAAATATACATAATGCAGCTACAGTATTTCGGTGTGGATAATAAGGCAGTCGGGCAAACCAGGAGGCCTCCTGCAACTTTTCCATTGGCCATTTCTGTGTTCCACTAGAAAGTTTGTTCTGCCATGAAAGTAGACATGGTGATATCTCTCACCCTCATCACATGTAATGTTATATATGTATCATAAAGATATATAAATTATAATGTAAAATATAAATTTTACTGCAATCACTACAGATTATTTGCATAAGTTTTACTAACATTAACATGGAAAAATTGAGATTGTAGGTACTAAACTACACCAAAGCAGTCGTCCACTTTAACCTAGCAAATTGCATAGCTACATTTTTTATCCAAAAATCAAAAGATCTTACAATATTCCTACATAAAAAAAAGACAACTAAATTGTATTATCATATGAATCATACACATGTACAAACAAATATTCCTAAATGTGCTACACATCTTGCCTGAAGCCCCTCTGAATAATCTTTAAAACATTCATTATTCACACTACATGCAGTGATTTGAAGCCTTTGGTAATTTATAACCATAGAAATACTGATGAACTCTTTTACACAAGTTATGTATTGCACTCGAGTGTAAAAATCTAATGTTAATCATAAAATAACTATCAGTTCCCAGAAATCTGTGTTATTGCACACCAAGGATGGTCCCTGTCCTTCGTCACCTCTGTTTTTCTTTTCCTTTTTTCCTAATGAGGGGGAGATGGATAGAAAATTTAGCAAGAGGGAGCTCATGTCTATTGTCAAAAAATGCACAGGGCATTATTAAAACAGAAAAATAATAATAATAATAATAATAATAATAATAATAATAATAATAATAATAATAATAATAATAATAATAATAATAATAATAATAATAATAATAATAATAATAATAATAATAATAATAATAATAATAATAATAATAATAATAATAATAATAATAATAATAATAATAATAATAATAATAATAATAATAATAATAATAATAATAATAATAATAATAATAATAATAATAATAATAATAATAATAATAATAATAATAATAATAATAATAATAATAATAATAATAATAATAATAATAATAATAATAATAATAATAATAATAATAATAATAATAATAATAATAATAATAATAATAATAATAATAATAATAATAATAATAATAATAATAATAATAATAATAATAATAATAATAATAATAATAATAATAATAATAATAATAATAATAATAATAATAATAATAATAATAATAATAATAATAATAATAATAATAATAATAATAATAATAATAATAATAATAATAATAATAATAATAATAATAATAATAATAATAATAATAATAATAATAATAATAATAATAATAATAATAATAATAATAATAATAATAATAATAATAATAATAATAATAATAATAATAATAATAATAATAATAATAATAATAATAATAATAATAATAATAATAATAATAATAATAATAATAATAATAATAATAATAATAATAATAATAATAATAATAATAATAATAATAATAATAATAATAATAATAATAATAATAATAATAATCAAAAAAAGGTCAATAAAGATAATACTACATGTCTTAAGGAACTCGTAACTACAGACAGTTAGCACACAGGATGGTCTACCTGCAGAACTCATGTCCAAAGTTCCCTTTCAAGGATCTAACATCTGGCATTTTTGGCGAAATTTTCTCTCTCTTTCTCTCTTCTTTATCTCACATCTATTCACACTTTTTGGGCATTACTTGAGTGAAGCTTCACCTAGTTATCTTATGCTTACTCCTATCATGCTATGGAACAATCTTGTACGTAACACACTATGAAAAAAAAAAAGAAAGAAAAAAATATACATAATGCAGCTACAGTATTTCGGTGTGGATAATAAGGCAGTCGGGCAAACCAGGAGGCCTCCTGCAACTTTTCCATTGGCCATTTCTGTGTTCCACTAGAAAGTTTGTTCTGCCATGAAAGTAGACATGGTGATATCTCTCACCCTCATCACATGTAATGTTATATATGTATCATAAAGATATATAAATTATAATGTAAAATATAAATTTTACTGCAATCACTACAGATTATTTGCATAAGTTTTACTAACATTAACATGGAAAAATTGAGATTGTAGGTACTAAACTACACCAAAGCAGTCGTCCACTTTAACCTAGCAAATTGCATAGCTACATTTTTTATCCAAAAATCAAAAGATCTTACAATATTCCTACATAAAAAAAAGACAACTAAATTGTATTATCATATGAATCATACACATGTACAAACAAATATTCCTAAATGTGCTACACATCTTGCCTGAAGCCCCTCTGAATAATCTTTAAAACATTCATTATTCACACTACATGCAGTGATTTGAAGCCTTTGGTAATTTATAACCATAGAAATACTGATGAACTCTTTTACACAAGTTATGTATTGCACTCGAGTGTAAAAATCTAATGTTAATCATAAAATAACTATCAGTTCCCAGAAATCTGTGTTATTGCACACCAAGGATGGTCCCTTTCCTTCGTCACCTCTGTTTTTCTTTTCCTTTTTTTCCTAATGAGGGGGAGATGGATAGAAAATTTAGCAAGAGGGAGCTCATGTCTATTGTCAAAAAATGCACAGGGCATTATTAAAACAGAAAAATAATAATAATAATAATCAAAAAAAGGTCAATAAAGATAATACTACATGTCTTAAGGAACTCGTAACTACAGACAGTTAGCACACAGGATGGTCTACCTGCAGGACTCATGTCCAAAGTTCCCTTTCAAGGATCTAACATCTGGCATTTTTGGCGAAATTTTCTCTCTCTTTCGTGACACGCCAGAGTGCAACTGGACAAAGTGTTGCTTGTAGCAACAACACACTACTACAGACAGTTCATATGAGGATGAGAGACTCTCCTCCTATCATTCCTTCACCGGACACACACACCTATCATTATAACTCCTTACACTTAAGCATCATGAATCATAATAATATAAACCAGGATTGTCAAGCTGGATGTAATCAAGACATTGGCTATGATTGGACGTTAGTGCTAAATTGAGCTTATTTGAGCTTGAAGAATTTTCTTGTCACAATAAAAACTACACTGTGTTAAGACGAGGGTTGCATCTAATTAGATTCATGAAAAAAAAAAAAAATGAAGAAAATAAAAAAAAAAAAAAAAAAAAAACTAATCCTTAAGCAGAGATAAAAATTTTGATCATAGTCTCTCTCTATTCAGGGTAATCTAAAAATAATATTCTGACCAAAATACTTCTCAATATTTCCATGAATATACAAGAATCCATATAAAATGGTCGTCCCTTGATGACTGCCTACTCAGAACCCCAATTGAGTAAACTGGACCTCATCACAGCCTAGATGATTGGAGTCTTACCACTCCTTCAGTTAGTGTTGAACACTAATGTTACTGTATAAAAGACAAGTTCTCAAACATAGACACTCTTAGAATTACCATAAAGATTCACATTGAAATGCAATACATTACAAGGTGTACATGAAACATTACACACACAATAGCACTTGTCGTTTGATTCTTTCTCTTTTTCACCTTATTCAAATGGCATTCCACAAGAACTCTCGGAAAATTTTCCAAACAAAGAGCGATACATGAGACTACATTCTTTTACCTTGTGTGTCAGAACATCCTTGCTGTCTCAGATACAAGGGAACCAACGCGCTCCGTGGGCGAGCCCGTCTACACAAGACCAGGAAAAACCCAGCGAGGAACAGCTAAATTTTGGCCTTTTCTTTTCCTAAATTTTTCCTTTTAAATCACAACATCAGGAAGGAAGGAAATGACACTCACTCCTTCCTTCCGACAGACAGACTTGGCAATTTCTTCTCAACTTCCGCTTCCTTTCTTCCATGCTCTTTATATGTACATATACATACATACACACATACAAATATGAACAATATATATGTATATATGTGCATAACTATATATATATATATATATATATATATATATATATATATATATATATATATATATATATATATAAATCTACATGTGTGTACGTATATATACATATACATTATATATATATAAATATATATATATATATATATATATATATATATATATATATATATACATACATACATACATATATATATACATACACATAAATATATGTACATGCATAAAGATA